AGGGAAAGACCGCGCGCAGCAACGAAGACCCAATGCAGTCAAAAAAAAAGAATTGTTAATATTAGAAACGCTAATGTCATGCTACTTTCCCCAAGTGCTTGACCTTGATTTTCAAACAAAGCTTTAACGATCCCCACTCCCTATTTTCGGGGCTGCTCTACACCCTGGAGGTGCCTTTGGTAGCGGTCGGCCTCGTATTTCTTCTTTCACTTCAGCAGGCTACAAATGCCCTGCTCACAAAACCACAGTACCAGCCTACAGGTTTTACCCCAGTAAAGGAAATGGGGCATCAGAATACCACAGACAGATGGGCGACGTGGCTCAGCTCTGCAGAAGTGTGAGCTGAGAATCCTCAGCACTGGCACCAACTCCAACCCCAGATGAAATCTCAGAGGTCCACCTGGCAGCCCAAGTGCACTCCTTCACATCAGCGGTGAGCGCAGCCCTGGGCACACATCTGTCTCCGTCAGCGCTCCTGGGATGATGGACGGCTGGGCTCCCGTTCACAACAAGGCCACAGAGTCACCGATCCGCAAGACTAAACTAACCCACACGAAGGCATTTTTCCAAAGCCTCCACAGCGTGCATGGATTACTCTTATAACCAGGAAAACCCAAAAACAATATTAAAAAAAACAAGAAGCCACCCGCAATGGCTGCACCTCGCTCCCTTTGTGCAGGAAGTGCTTACCATGGTACCCCTCCCCCATCCCCAGAGCTGTCTTCACTACTTTACCTCGAACTTTTTCTGTCACCTCCTCCTCCACTGTGTTACCTACCAGGGCATAAAATAGGCTTTTTACTTCCTAGAGGAAATAATTATGTCAATGCTCATACTTTTGGTTCATCTGGAAGGGAAAAAAGCACACCTATAATGTGCCAGATTCTTTCACAGACCATCTCATTTAGTCTGCAAAACAAACTCAGGAGCTAGTAATTATGCCCACTTCACAGGTGAGGAAACTGAGGTTCAGAGGGATTAATCAATGTTCCCAAGGTCACCACTGTTTTCCTAGTGTAGACCTGGACTCTTGGACCCAGGTTTTTCTTTTTTTTGTTTTGTTTTGTGTTTTTTTTCGCGGTACGCGGGCCTCTCACTGTTGTGGCCTCTCCCGTTGCGGAGCACAGGCTCCAGACGCGCAGGCTCAGCGGCCATGGCTCACGGGCCCAGCCGCTCCGCGGCATGTGGGATCCTCCTGGACCGGGGCTGGAACCCGTGTCCCCTGCATCGGCAGGCGGACTCTCAACCACTGCGCCACCAGGGAAGCCCCGGACCCAGATTTTTCTGATTCCACCCTTTCTACTCTATCAGAATGTGCCATCTAAACATCAGGAAGAAGAATATCTACCTTTGAAATACTGCTTCTGAAAATGGAAAGATTCCAAAAATTTTTAAACGCTAAAAAACTTTCACTTAAAAGAAATCATAGTGAATTACTTTGAAATAAAAAGTACTGCCTTAGTTTAACAACTTCACAAATTTGCTTTTCCATATCATGTATTCTTAACTGAGGCAACCGTATATTTCACAAAATGGTAAAAAGACTAAAAATTTTCAGCTTATATATAAAAAACCAAAGATTTAAGATAAACTCATGGATTTAAATCTCTCTCAATTTTAGAAATGGGCCTCAGTTACAGTCTTAAGGAAGTTAACATTCATGGGATAATTGAGTCTGTAATCAGGTTTTTTTTTTTTTGCGGTACGCGGGCCTCTCACTGTTGTGGCTTCTCCCGTTGCGGAGCACAGGCTCCTGAAGCACAGGCTCAGGGGCCATGGCTCACGGGCCCAGCCGCTCCGCAGCATGTGGGATCTTCCCAGACCGGGGCATGAACTCGTGTCCCCTGCATCGGCAGGCGGACTCTCAACCACTGCGCCACCAGGGAAGTCCCTGTAATCAGGTTTTTAAAAATTCAATTCGGTTGGAAAAATCACAGACGGGAGGTGGGTGATGGGGAGGAGAGACATTTAATTTCTTTTTAGCCTAAGTACTTTCCCCACAGGGGAACACTAAAAACCACATTCAAGTAAAGAGCAGCTTTTTTTTTTTTTAAAGAAAATGAAAATGGTTTAATAAAGGTAAAATAATTAAGACAAAATAAAAACTTTAACAATAAGTAACAATGAACTTTCAGATCTGTATACTATGCTCAAAAATGCTGGGAAACCTAACCAGGTCCAGCCTGGTAAACCTGCCTAAAACTATGTCCCATTCATGTTGGTTTAATCCCTGCCAAGTGTTACATACAAACGAATTATTTTATAGAATTGAATCTCTTTATGAGGGAATTTTAGAACAGTGAAGGCACAGATATCACCATTTCCCCTTATAGTTTGGGGCTGAGGTCAGAAAAGGCCAGTCTCTACAAAGGCAGGAGAATCAACCTACGATAATCACCCGTGTAAACAGCAACTGTCACAGGCAGTGTGCATGGTGGCTGTAAGGACATGGTGCCTCCTCCTTCCCCCAGATGAACCCTCACAGCTGCAGAGCTGCAGGGTGTTACGGGCCAGGCTCTGTGCTTAAAGCACCCTGTAAGGACCAGCCCGCTGCATCCTCCAGCAACCCGCTGGGGGAACACTATTATTTTTTTGGCGGTGCCGTGTGGCTTGCAGGATCTCAGTTCCTTGACAAGACGTTGAACCCAGGCCCACGGCAGTGCAAGTGCTGAGTCCTAACCACTGGACCGCCAGGGAATTCCCACTGACATTATATTATTATTTTTACTTTCTTTTACTGAGGTGAGAGTCATAAACAGTATCATCGGCCCATCTTAGAGATAAGAAAATCAATGCTCATAAGGGCAAGTAAATCGTCCAAGGTCACAGAACCACGAGAGGCAGAGCTGAGATCTCAATGTTTCCTTTCTAGAAGGCTCATTCCACTACACTGACTTCAATAAAATTCTCTCTGGGGAAACTACGAGCTAAGAACCACACTCTGCACCGACGTTCCTGACCTTGGATCCACAGAGGGTCCTCATGGAACCTGCGAACCCCTGACACTGTGTGCCAAGTGACATGGACCAGCACGTTCCTGGTGACAGGGGACCCGGGCTATACCCCAACCTTGAGGTGGGGACCACTGCCCAGCGTTGCCAGCACACCCCAGGCCGTGCCTGGAGTGGTGGGTGGCCTTCCCCTCTAACCTCCACTGGATGTGCCCTAGCAGGGCTGTTCTGTTGACTCACATGATTTTTCTGGGCCGGTGTCACTTCAGCTGTGGTGATCTCACAGAGGTACCGAGGGCTCTTGGTTCAAGTCCCCCGCGTGGACATCCTGGCGGTGGCATACGGCGGCCACACCTCTGAGCCTCCCTATTCCTCCTGTGGAGCGTTCCACTCCCTGAACTCAGAGGCTGCTACGGGCTAAACAAGAACACCAAGGTATCTGCCCCATCTCGACTCTCACTATCCAAATATTGGCTGTAATGGTTTGCAAAAAAACATTAGCCCATATTGGCTATCCAAGTGAAAAATGACGAATACGTAAGAGCCTGCAGCAAGATCACTCAAGTTCTGAGTGTCTGAACCGAACAGAGGCCGCAGCACACGCCGCTGTCTCAGGCGACTGCCGGGAACTTACGCTGTTTAGGTGTGTAGTGTGTTACCACCTCACTTTCCCCACTTTATTAGGTGAAACTGTCTCCTCTGGAAGTGGAGAAGTCCATGAAGAAATCAGGTGAGTTTCAGAGGCTGAGGAAATCCCCTCTGTTAGGAAAAAAAGCTGGAGCGACAGTCTATTGAGAAGGGTGATCATATAAAAGATATAACCTCGGCCAAGTACGTGCGTCCCTTTCCTGTGTATGGTTTTTGCATTGGGTGGGTGACAAAGCACAACTTGTGAAATGCGTGGGTTCCACAAAGTCTCGCAGTCTTCTGGAGCATGGGAGCTATTTTTATCAAGCTAGTGAGATTCGTGTATGGAGGATGCACAGCCAGTCAGCGTGATGCCAGTGAGCACATGCTGGTACAGATGGAGAGTTAGAAACGTGATGGGGAACGAGGATTTGGTGGCGGACTTCGGTTTTAAAGCCAGCCTGGAAGGTCTGGGAGATTTATGTAAGCCTGACTGCAGCTGCATGTAAGGCTGCAGCAGCTCCCCCAGTGAACCCCTGAAATTCCCGAAGGTGGCTGTACTGCAGAGCAAATTTCCAATCTTGATGAACCTGAGCTTTTCTTTTTTTTTTGAAAACAAAGCGCATGGCCTGCTACACGGTGTCCAAACCATACACATGACGCAGGAGAATCTTTCACACAAGGCTTCTTTGACGGAAGACGATGCTTCTAGGCATCCTTCTAGAGCTTTCAGTTACGGATAATAACTGTGGTCTTTCCGCTTTCACACACCTTTAATGTAGCCTTTATTCCAAGGAGTCACCACAACCTTCAAAGCATATCACCTGATGGTACAGTACCTGGAGAGCTGACAGGGTGACTGAACTTTGATGAAGGATTCATGGCAGAGTTTTTACCATAAAGGCATTCGATGCACTGATTAGGCTTGGAAAGGAGTGTCATCACAAATGATGAATGAAATAGGAAAGAAACGGCTCTTGAAATTTTTTGCTGACTTTCAAGGTTTTGATAAAGTGGTGATTCAAAGCCAAGTCTTCTGCGGTGTATGGAGCCTGGAGTAAGCAAGGCGGACGGTAAAAATGCTGACCAACTATTCTCATCACTGATGAAGAGCAAGAAGGTTGCCACAGGCTCTTTCAAACGGATGGGCCTTACTGGTCTGAAACAGGGAAGGAAGGGGAGCTCCATCACCTGGACTCCAAATCTGTAAGACGCAGATCACGCCGACGAAACGGTCGTGAGAAGAGAAGCACCCCCTTAAACACTCAACCTCAAGCAGAATCTTCAGGAATCAGGAGCTTTAAGCCCAAGGTCAAGGGAATGCAAACAGAGGCCCATTTTGGTGTTTTCATCCCACAGCTTCCCAACATGGTTCTTAGCCGTCCGCTTCTGAAGCACTTGGTGTCAAGGAGAAGGCTGCCGGCCAGTGATGTGAATTTGGGCGCTGGGTGAATCTCAGACATCGTTCACCGTCCCCTCCACCCATTTCCCCCCCCACCCCCCGCTGCCCCTCAGGCAACTCTTCATTGTCATCTAAACAATTTAAAAAAGGGCTTCGTTTACTGTGTTTTACCAAATATTAATTGCATTCAGTATATATCTCCATTCATTTTTTCACCACATATTTTTATTTTATAACGAGTTCAGTGAAGCAAGATACAATTCTTATCTAATCCTGTACAATATCGTTGTGTACTCTACACAACGTGCCCACCAATAAGTTCACTGAGAATTAAATAATGAGGTAATGTGTTTTAAAATGCTTCCTATGATACAGAAATCCTTGGTAGGCAGTAAATGGAATTTCCCATGTTTGCGAAATTGGCTGAAGTTCCTGGAGAGCTGGAGACCTGTGGACAGAAGCCCCTCTTCCAGGACAGATTGGATGTGGGTAATGAGAGAGGCAGGTGCACAGTGGTGCCCTGAACACTGCAGAGCCACCTGGAGAGAAGCTACCGTTTCAGGTAAAATCAGAGAGTAACAGAAGTTGCCTGTTGCTGGGAGGGTCCTCTTGGGACTGGCCTAGTCCAGCCCCCTCGCAGAAAGGACGAGGCCCTGAGGCGAGAGGCCCGGGGTCAGTGAGTGACCGTTCCAAGGACAGAACCTGTAGTCCCCGCACAGGGCTCTTCTTCCCTGGGTAATTTCAATTTTTAACACACTAACACTTTCCGGTGCTGGGAGTGCCACGCTCTTTAAAACTTTTACATTAATGGGCAATTACAATAAAAGGACTCTTTACCTCGCCCTGAACTTGGCTTATACAGGAGACTCAGTAATATTTGCTGGTGAAATCAGAAACCTGAGGCTGAGTTGTTAAAGTTCATCTTGATCGCTCCTCTCCCGTGAAGAAACCCAACGGCTTAGAATCACCTCCTGTAACCAATCAAAATACAAAGGCGACTGAATTGCAAAAACAGAAATGAACGAACGTGAACACGCCAGGCATACAGCATCGCAGAGGTATTTTGTAGAGAGCTGTCTGTACAAGGATGATACCTGCTCCCCATTCCTTGTAACTAAACATTTGGAGAAATGTGAATGTAGCAAACAAACCTTATGTGGAAACATCTACAGCATCTACAGTAATCACCCCAAGATTTTAAGAGCTACCCTTGCTGTGGTCTCCTACCAGCACATTTCAGGAACAGGAGTGCTGGTGCGAACCCACTGTTCAACACAGTACCAGGTCTGTGACGGTGCCGGTGTGTCTGGGGCAGCACGGGGAAGGGAGACGTGGGTCTCGACTGGCATTTTATGAAGAGCTGAGCCAGTGGGTGTGAGCAGGATAAACAGGGGGACGAGGCGCTTGGGCCCTGGGGACCAACAGCTGGCCTGCTGCGGGATGGGCAACTGGATGGCGGGTCGGCAGTGCCGGCAGAGAAAATCCCGCCAGGAAGATGCGGGAGCCTCAGCCCAACACAGGCCCCCAGCAGCCAGACAAGATGTTCAAGGAGGCGGCGAGCCAACAGTGATACTTGTCGTTTCAGGGGCCGAGACCCAGGAGAGGTCTGGGCTGCTCCCGACAGGGGCGGAAACCAGAGGACATCACAGAACAAGGGGCCACAGGGTTAAGGGGGAGCGAGGCTGGGTTCAGAGGGGAAGGACCTGAGAGGGCTCTCGTTGCCGAGGCGAGATGCTTTTCCCGTCCTGTCTCGGGACCACCGGTTCCAAGGGACGTAATACGCTGGGCAGAGCCTTTGTGACGACGTGAATTTGTTTCCGAGTTCACCTACCTGAACTTTAATTTGTTTCATACATTCTGGTGACTCCATTTCTTTGTCAGTCATGGTGGAGGGTTTAATCAAATAGCACAGCATAAATTCCTATTGAGACATGAAAAACAAACTCCGTATCCCACAAAACAAATCCAAATCTGGGCAGGAAATGCAGCCGCCTCCACCCCCTCTCAGTGTGTGCTACTCGAAGCTCACAAAGCATGTCCGTTTCCTCCCGGGAACGTAACCAGGCCCCACTCTGGACCAAAGACCTGCCGTTCAGTCATCGTTGACACGGCAGGAGAATGCAAACAGAGCACATATGCTGATTACAAACACAGCATTTAAAATATTCAATACTGGAAACAGTTTAGACCCCTATTTCCCTAGGACAAAGTTACTTGCACAGGATAAAGCCTAAGCAACGTAGCCTGCGCCCAGGCAGCTGCCATCTGGCCCTGCTGGCCCTTCAGGCCTCAACGCCCTGCACGCCTCCAGCAGCTGTGGGAAGGAGAACTCAGAGAGTTACTGAGTAACAGAGAACACACAAAACTTTCATTCTTCGTAGTCCTGGTATGAGACGAAATGTCCCTCCTAACTTGACGGCAGTGGGATATCGGAGAACACAGGTGGGGCAGTCACGTGGCTCTGGGTTTGAATCCCAGCTCTGCTCATGAGCTGTGTGCTCTTGGATTGGTCACCCAACATCTCTGACTCTGATTCCTCACCCTTCGGATGAGGATAATAACAGGGTAGTGAGAAAAGACATAAGGTGTTTAGCGATAAATATTAATTCCCTTCCTCTCTCTCTTTGAGAGACCTGCTACCTATGAAAACAAACACGTCAATGTTTTTTGAGTCATCTGTGAATGAGTGGGAGTGGATTCTGAGCACGTGCTGGTTGGGCTTGCCCCCAGGAAGGAAGGCAATGCCCACTGACACCCATCACCATGGGAAACCTCGGAGCTCCATCCCTGGAGCTGTGCACCAGCCGGTGGGGGGAAAAACGGAGAGGAGGACCAGCTTCCAGAGCTTCGTTCACATAAATGCTCTGCGGTCCCTACACGTGACTTTTATGCTTCTACCACAATTAAGACGAAAAATCCAACCATTTAAATGACACGTGAACCCCAAAGCTGATGCGGTGTTACCTTGGAGACACTGACTGAAACTCTGCTCAAGGCAGCCAGGGACCGCCAGCTGAGAGGTCTGCGAGGAGAGCCCTCAAAATGGTCATCCACCAGCTCGATGATGACAGAGTAACTGGAAAACAAGGCAAGGGTGTTTTAAAAATAAAAAACATGAAGTCAACCCATTTACAGAGAACAGTGCTTGGGACTTCCCTGGTGGTCCAGTGGTTAAGAATCCACCTTCCAACGCAGGGGACGTGGGTTTGATCCCTGGTCAGGGAACTAAGATCCCACATGCTGTGGGGCAAATAAGACCGCGTGCCACAACTACTGACCATGCAGGCCACAACTAGAGAGCCCGTGTGCCACAACTACAGAGCCCACGTGCTCTGGAGCCCAAGCACCATAACTAGAGAGAAGCCCAAGCCCCGCAAACGAGGAGCCCACGCATCGCAGCGGAGGATCCCGCGTGCCGCAACTAAGACTCGATGCAGCCAAAAATAAAATAAATAAATAAATATTAAAATAAAATAAAAATAACATTGTTTGTCCTACCAAGAACGAAAATACAGAAAATAAAACACACAGCATCTGATCCTGAATCCCCCTAGACTACTACTGGGAAAAGTATTAATGAAAAACTCACACTTTACATTACAAACTATAAGCCTGATTCAGCACTTACAGGAAAGGAACAGAAATATTTCTCCCAGCGTGAAACCCGTGAATTCGCTCAACTGTTTAGACAATAATACTCACTGATACGAAGATGAATAATTACTATATAGTAGTAACTGCATAGATTAACTCAATGTTTAATGCTAAAACATAAATTATCCTGACCTGTTTATTATTTTATAGATAGTGTAGCAACTTCAACTTATAAGGGACAGACATACAGTATCTATTCCTATTAAACCAGGAGGAATTTGACTCTAATTATCTGTGTGCCTCCGAAGATTAAATTGGGGCTCAGAAATCTCCTCCTGTCACTTTAAGCCATTAACTTATTTACAAATCACTCCAATAAATCATGAGCTTGGGATGAACACACACATACTAATATGTACAAGATAGATAACCAACAAGGACCCACTGCATAGCACAGGGAACTCCACTCAACTATTCTGTGATAACCAAAATGAGAAAAGAAACTAAAAAAGAATGAATATATGTGTACGTGTAACGGAATCACTTCGCTGTACAGCAGAAACACACACAACACTGTAAATCAACTATACTCCAATAAAAAAAAAATCACTCCAAACCTTGCGTGGTAAAATGGAGGGCCTTTTCGATACAACACTGCAAAGAAAAAGAAAGAAAACGTGTAACCACTCGAAATCAAAGTCTCATTTTATACTTATAAAGTATTTTCTTCTTCAAACACCCAGTGCTCTCTATGTGGGTAACCCGTAATACACCCTGTGGTCTATTTTTAAAACCCAAACTGTCTTTTCCCCTGGAACAAAAATTAGCAAAGCAAATCTGTTGCCAAGACCCTAATACCCTCGTCCCACCTGCACCCCACAAATGAATTCCAAATCCAAGTATAAGCAATTTTTGTCCTGTTTCTTGTCTTACACTCTCCAGAGAGAGAGTGTGAAATCATGTCAAGCATGTCAAGTTGGTATAATAAGAACCAACATTCAGTTATTCATTTCAAATCTTTTGAATCGTCATTCAGGGTCTGAGCTCCTCTGGCCGGTACAGGATAGGTGCTGGTGCTAAAGATGAATGAGACTCATGCCTACTTTTAGGAAATTCAAAGTCAAGTGGGGAAAAAGTCACATAAGCACACACGCCACTCGGAGACCCGCCTGCCTACCTCATTCAGTCTGTGGAGGTCAGAGTGGCTGGCCGGGGTCTGCCGTGGACTGTGGAAGTGCAGGCGAGCCCTCGGGGGCACACAGCCTGTGGCAGCGTGCGGAGATCTGCCCACCAGATCTGTTTGCTCTCTCTCCAGGCACGTGAGAGACACCGTATCAGCCTCCCAGGCAGCAAGGAGTGGCTGTGTGTCCCGGGGCACTTCCTGATTGGCCCAGAAAACCCTCCCTGGCACCGAGCCTGTGCTTGTTCCTTTGTGAGGCCGAGTGAAGCTCATGGGACCACAAGAAGAAGCCAGGCCCCTGCAGTCCCTGTGGGAGTTGGTCCACCTACCACTCAGACACTGGCTTTGGATTTCACATGAACAGAATTAACTTCTAGTGTTAATTAAGCCCATGAAATCTGGAATTTATATGTAACTACAGCCGCAGGAATCACCTTAACTAACAATTATATCCGTGAGCTTGTGCAAAAACCAAGGCAGAAAAGCTTTGTTTCCTTCGAGGAACTGGCAGAACTTTTCCTTTTGGGCATAAACCCGGTATTTAATCACGTTTCCCTTTAGCTCACGCACCACGAGGTCAGAACAAGTTTAGGACCCAATGGATGATACAGTAACCCTTCACGTATATTTTCCATGGTCACCTTTCCTTCTTATGAACATATTTCCTATTTAAATTGTATTTAAAGTATTTGGCAAGTCAGCTCAAATTCACTGTGTAAGGGCCCACATTTAAGTAAATATCTAAACACCCATTTCTCAATTTCTGGGGATGTGGTGCAGTGGAAGGAGACCCTGTACCGGGATGAGACTGAATTCGGGGTTCTGTTTTGGCCTGATCTCTGCCACTCCTAATTGTGTCGCTTTAAACACATTATTAACTTCCCTGAGCCTCAGTCTCCAAAATCATAAAATGAAGACGAGGGGAAATTAAAATCTTCTCTAGCCCTCATATGCTAGTATCTATGGTCAGTTACACATCCTTCACCTCAGATGCATCTGGAAGGTGACACAGCTTGAAAGCAGCTCCGACCCCCAACTCAGGCCATTCAGATGCCCGACTACGATGGAGGTGCAGCTTAGGGGTTAAAGGCATAAACATGGCATCAGTCAGACCCCAACTCAAGGCTCAGCAGTGCCAAGACCATATGATGACACTTATGTTTCAATCTCCTTATGGAAAATGGGGGCAATAATGCAGGTGGAGGTGCTCGAAGAGTTACCCATGATAAATAGAGATTACGATGATAACAGTGTATTCAGAGGGGAAAATGAAATAGTTTTACAAAAATGCCTCCCAGGTAGAAAGATGAAAGCTTCAGAAGTCTAAGAAATAGTGGGTATTTAAAAATAAAGTCTGAACGAAGAGGGAGAAGAGAGGAAACGTGCTTTCTCACACTAACACCAGACGTGACGTGCGGAAGGAATGATAGAGTCAGAACACAGTGATCAGGGCAATAATCAATTTGGGCAACCACTGTTAACTACTAGGGAACCAGATATTCAGTGTCACCCTACAAGTCACTTGTGAACTACAAAAGGAAAAGCACAGACACCCGACAATGGCTGCCCTATTTTAAAAATAAAAAAAATTATTTTTATAAAAATAAAACACAATAAAAAACGGCATCACCAGCAGTAGGACAACCTGACATCAGGCACCCCTGGACGTGGCCCAGTGAGGACACACATCACCCGTGCTTGCAAAAAAACGGCAAGCCCGAATCTAACCATGAGGAAGTGATCAGACATACCTAGACTGTGGGACACCCTACGGGACTCTTCAAAAAAAGTCAACGTCACAGAAAACAAACAGGTGGAGGGACTCTTTTAGATTAAAAAAGACTGAGGAGACTGCAGTGGTTGAACGGTGGCCCCTAAAAGATATGTCCACGTCCCAATCCCTGGGACCTGTGAATGTGACCTTATTTGGAAAAAGGATCTTTGCAGAGATTGGAGGGATGGAGCCACAGCCAAGGAACAGCTGGCGCCACCAGAAGCTGGAAGCGGTAAGGAAAGGAGGGAGCACGGCCCCGCCAATGCCGTGGTTTCAGACTTCCGGCCTCTAGACCTTCTGCTGCTTTAGGTCCCCAGTTTGTGGTCATTTCTCATGGCCTCCCTAGGAAACTAAAAGTGGTAAATGCACTCAATGTGACAAATGAATCTTGAGTGGAGCCTGTCAAAAAAATCAAAAACCAAACGGCCACAAAAGACATTGTGGGGACAAGTGGGAAAACTGAAATATGGACTGGATATTTTTGATGATATTGTATTACCGAATAATTAATTAATATTAATGAATAATCAATAATGAATTGTTAATTATTCTGATTAATATTAATGAATAATTCTGATTTCTCTTAGGTATTATATGATGCCATAATTATGGAGGAGAATATTCTCAGGAGTTGCATGCAAAAACACTTATGATTTAATATGGATTATGTGTGCAAATGTGGAAAATGTTAACAAAAACATTTAAAGTCTGATTAGAAGAATAAGCCAAGAGGGTGGCTTGGGAAAGAACTGAAGATGGGGATGGGAGGAAGGTGCACCTCCCTGCTCTGTGAGGAGCACAGGGCCCCAGTGCCTCTCCCCGGGGGCAGAGCCAGCCACCAGCTCTGGGCCGATGCCACGACCAGCGATGGTTCTTCTCTGGACATCCTGTAACTCTGCTGGCTTCTAACGGCTCCCCTCCTTCTACCTGTTTTGCAACTTCTAATTTGCAGGGAGCTGGGGAATCACATGGTCAAACTCAGTCCACGTGGACCCAAAATTGGAATGGGTGGGAATGCGTAAGACAAAAATAGAAGGCTGGAGTTGGTTTTCGGCTTTCTGGCTGGCAATGTTAGTCAGGTGTGGTGGGAAGTACACAGAGCCGGGACCCAAACAGCCCTAACCTCTGTACTTAACCAGCTGCGGGACCCTCGGCAACTCCCCTGACCCTTCGAAACCTCAATTTCCTCAGCTACTGAAGGAGGTGAGCGCCACACCCCTCACGGAGCGTGAAGATGAAATAAGACGGGAGAAGAAAAGCACCAAGGCACCTGGTGCTTTTGGCACCTGGTCACCATACGAGCCAGCAGCAGCTTCTGGGGTGGGGGGGATGTACGGAAAGGCTCCCAAGTGATTTCTGGCCTGTTTTTCAGCACAGGGCAATCAAGGTCAACTGGCCCAGCAGCTGTGCCTGATTTGAGATCTTATCACCTGTTCCAAGCGCTGCTCCTGGAATGAAATCTGATTGACAAGACTTAGTCAAGGGAAGGGTTTCCCTGATAAGATGTGAATTTCCTAACGGCCCTTTGTCATGAGTCATTACCTCTGTGAGCAGAAACAATTGTTAAGGGAGCACGTCCTGGGTGTAGCCTGTGTCGGCAGTTCTAGGGTATGTGTGATCACGTCACTGGCCTTCAAAATTAAAATGATACTGTTAAAAGACCAGCAGCACCATGTAGCCATGCCTGGAGAAGAGGTCAAGTTTAGGAAGCTGCTCTTCTCACCCCAGGCTAGCACAGCTCCTGAATTCTCCCTAAAGCAGGAGATGTGAAGACACCCTTCATGGCACTGCTGGGCCAGAAACCTGGTCTCAGGCTAATCACACAAGCAGTTCCAAGGGCACGATACACCCCTCCTGGGGCAAAGCCCTTGGGGGGCTGGGAAACAGCAGTTGATGTATTTCTTTTCTTTTTAAAAGTCTGTCCATCTGTCTGTCCTTTCATCCAGCCTTATAAGGCAGTTTATTTTTAAATGCGGAAAGTTTTCTCTACTCACCATCCACAAATACGGCTTGAGTACTGAAAACACACGCAATAAGGTATGCTTACAAGGCACTCAACAGAGGTCCCTCCCCCTGGCAACGTTTTGTTTTTATTTTTTATAAAGAAGATGCTGTCTTATAAAGATGTTGTTATCCATGTTACATGATGAGTGAACGGAAGCCCAGAGAGATGAACTGACCTCCCTGAGGTCACACAGGTAGTAAGACATGGAACCGGTGTGAGCCCGGAGAGCTCTTTCCGTTACCCCTACCTCCTCAGAGCGCATCACTGTGGCCTGGTCGACTGGAAAGTTCTGCTCAGGTTTCACCCATTCGGTGAGCACACTGGCCTGCCAAGCGCTCACACGGAGCGGCTATTCTCACAGGGCAGGAAAAGGAGAGCAGGACGGGGAGCCAGTGGCGGCAGTGCAACAGCTACGTCACTTATTGAAACGCTGTGACCTGTGGGCCACGCAATCATCTGGAAACCTGGCAAACTAATCTCGAGCTGGTCCTGATCATTCTGTCCGCAGGGCTGGTCAGGTCAGCTTCCCTAACTACTCCCTCTGCTTCCATTCCCGTCCCCTGCCCCCCGCCCCCCGCCGTCTATTAGTAAGAAAGTACACAAAGGTCCCACTAAATCAAGTTACCGAATATGTCACTCCTTTGCTCAAAATCTCCCAGGACTTCCAATAACCAGAATAACACCCCAAGTCTTTGCCCAGCCCCACGTGATCTTCCCCAGACATCACCTCACGTCACTCTCCCCCTCGGACCTCTAAGTTCTAGACGCACTGTCCTCGTGCTGCTCCTAAGTCCTGCCTCAGGGCCTTTGCACTGGCTGCTCCTTTGTGCCTTGGGTATTCTTCCCCAGACTGTCAAGTGACCTGTTCCCTCACTGTAGTCATATTTCTGTTGTTGTTTGGGGCACATCTTTTCAGAGAGTCCCTTTCCTAACCACCCTAAGTTTCTTTTTTACTCTCTGTTCCTTTACTCTGCTTTATTTTTCTTAGTACCCTGAAATTACAGTACGTATTTATGTGTTTGCTTGTTTGTTCCCCACCCCTGCCCCGCCCCAGCATGTGAGCAGCTCCACCCAGGCAGTTTTGTCTGTCTTGTGCACCTCTGTGTTCCCGGCACCTAAGAAGATCTGGCTCACACAAGACCCTGAGCAATTATCTGGTGAATGAGGTGCTCAGCAGGTCCCAACTCCCTCCTATAAATAAAGATGAGGGAGGCAGTACTGTGTAGAAGTTTCCAAGGGCCTGGCCTCCAGCATTCAAAGCCCAGGACTATGAGTTACTGACCCGGGAAACTTTTAGGGGCAAATGACCCTTTCTCTCACAAGTTCAGTCTCCCTATCAGAAAAACGAGGATGGTGAGCTCTGATCTCTTAGAACTGCTATTAGGATTAAACGAGGTCGTGCATGTCAACCGTCTCCTACAATGCTTGGCACACAATAAGGGCTCAATAAATGTCAGCTGTGATTATCACCACAGTTCTACAATGATTATTAATGGCATTGCACACAATCTGACAGGTGAGACTACCCCAGAAGATAAGGGACTGCCCTACATCACACGATCACACACTAAAGAGAGGCGGGGGTAGGGGCTGTGGACTCTCTTCTAAGATCTCAGAGCAGAAAAGAGGAAAACATACCCTCCACCCCGATCCAAACATGATTATCTAAGGCAGGAGGACATCCATCATCTCAGGAAAAAACAGCAACAGCACATATAACCGATTCGATTTTCACCCCAGGATCTGATGTGAACCCTGGTGCTCACACCTGCCAAGCCAAGAATCACTTACGCAAATCAGTTCCGTACTTAAGTCCCGGTTTGGGCACCCAGCCCTTGCTTCGGAAGTGATGGTACGCCATGTACGTAGTCCTGAACGTAGGCTGAACTACGCGGAAGGCGTTCCAGAGCTTCACAATCGTTAAAGGCTCCTACGGTTGTTGGGGGAAAACAAAGCATTATGACATATGTATCCACCCATTACACAGCCGGTGAATCAACAACATCTATACTAAGTGTGAGCAGAAGATAAACAAACACGGTGCCCATGACAAAGGGTTTAACCACAAGATCCAGACCCGTGCTGTCCAGTGTGGCGGCAGCCAGCCACTCCTCTGAACTTAGATGTGTTGCCAGTGTAAAAAAAACACTGAATTTCAAAACTGAGAATGAAAAAAAGAATATAAATTATCCCAGCAATTTTAAATATGTTGGGTTAAATATACTGTGTAAATAATGTAAATCAATTTCAGCTGACTCTTAAAAAAAACCTTTTTAATGTGTCTACCAGAAAATTTAAAACTATGCATGTGGCTCCCATCTGAGGCTCCCATCATATTTCTACTGGACAGCACTGCCCCAGAGGACCTGTGAGAGGCCCCCTTGAGACAGCAACCCTGCAGACTAGAAACAGCCAAGCGAAGCGGGGGAGGGCAGCGGAGGGGCTGCTGGTGGGAGAACAGTCCAGGCAGAGGAATGGGGGCGGGCCGGGTGTCCACCAAAGCCAGAGGGCGCACGTTGCAGCACGCACAGACCCTAATGGGTAGCTGCGGTTTGTCAGGCCACATTCAGAAAAGCCAAAAATAATTCTGTAACATTTTTACAAAAAGATGTTCCATTTAGTGTTTGAAACTAGAACATTTATCGCAAGGCACAAGTCAGTAATCCAACTGCTTCAAAGGGAATTTTGTTGCTAAGGTCGGACTTGAAGACACTGAGAACGGTTCAGAGAACATTCTGATGTGCCAACACAAAAACACAACAGGAAAGACCAGGTAAGTCTGGAAGGTTTTCCGCTTCATTTCAGTGCTGACTAAAACGGCCAGTCCTTCAGTTAGTTGGTTTACGGATCGGTCACTCAATGAGACTTGCTCAGTTTGTCTCAGTCTGAGATTTTAACACCATAAGTATGAGCTAGAGTTGGGTTTTTTTTGTTTTTTCTTTTCTCCTTTAAAAAACAAACAAACAAACAAAACAACCGGTTGTTCCTAAGGTGGAAACTCCATATGTGTGTGGTCTTGAAATCCACCCCCCTCCAAAACAAGCAACAGTCTTGTGGAGAAGGCTGAACTTCTGGCTTGGACAGCCCACCGAGTTTCAGAGGCTGAGGGTTCTACGGAGCAGCTGGAATGCCCCGACAAATGTCAGTGAAGGCCCAGGGGAGGAGGTGGGGTGGGCTAAGGACGGCCCCCCTCTCAGACAATAGGTCACCCGTCAGCCAGACACCCGTTTCCAAACCACTGGGATACCCATGAAGGGGACTTACACAGTTAGAAGCGGATGAATGACAAAATACGTACCCCCAACAACAGAATAAAATGTATTTTCTCTGTTCTAATGTTCTGCTTACCTTTTTCATCTTAATTTTAATTTCACGTGAATTATTTTGAACAGGTATTGTATTCACATGGGCCAAAATTCAAGAAGTACAAAAGTGTACGGTGAAGTCTCGCCTTCCACCCAATTCCTCTACCAGGAGGCAAGCACTGGGATTAAAGTTCTGCTAAGGGCAGCAGGATACAGCACAAAATCATGGGCTTTGGAGCTGTCCTGACATAGGTTCAAATACTAATTCTAACCAGACCAGCTGTGTGACCCTGGGTGAGTTACGTGTTTCCTCAGCCTCAGTTACCCCGTCTATAAGTCTTTACAGGCGCAAGTTGAGGACCAGAAGTACTGCATATAAAGTTCCCAACTCACAGCCTTTACCGAAGCAGGTGCTAAAACACGGCTAGTTTCTATCTTTGCTGTTAATTTTTGGTACCGCTCTGACAGATTTCCTGATCATTATAGAAGATACTGCTATCCTCCTAGTCTCTGGGAATGAAATTCAGTCTGAAAGGGTCAAAGCTGGCTTTTGCCTGAACAATCCCAATTCAGGACCCAAAGCCTAAACTTAGAGAAAAAATTCAATTCCAATTTTATCCAGTGAAAGTGGACCCATTTGTATTAAAGCAATGGAAATTACTACAACCTGCTTTTAACATCAGGGAAATTTTTTTTTTTTTTTTTGCGGTACGCGGGCCTCTCACTGTTGTGGCCTCTCCCGCTACAGAGCACGGGCTCCGGACACGCAGGCTCAGTGGCCACGGCTCACGGACCCAGCCGCTCCGTGGCATGTGGGATCCTCCCGGACAGGGGCGTGAACCCGCGTCCCCTGCATCGGCAGGTGGACTCTCAACCACCACGCCACCAGGGAAGCCCACATCAGGGAAATTTTAAGTGGACTGTGTCTGAATAAAACATCTTACCTTCTCATAGTAGATACTTAGACATCCCAGAGCATAGACCAGGAAGAAGGCCTAAAAACAGGGCAAGCAGAAAATGCTCATCAGAAACTTCCACGTTGAGAAATTATTTTACAGACTGATTTCTCTTTGCGTTAAATACAAATTAATGTCCTTATCACCATCCAAATGGTCACATATTTTTAAACATTTAAAATATGTGAAATTCATTTAAATTTCAAGGATTAAAATATGAATGTAATAAAATGGTTTAGAATCAGTACAAAACATTTCTATGAAATTTTCCATGTATTTTTTCTTTATAAAAACCACACGGCTAAGCTGAAAAATGATATAAATAGCAAAAACAACAATAGAAACCTTTGCTCATTGGATTTTCCTCTGTCAAATAACCTTACTAAAGTGAGAAAAGAATTTATAGAAAAAGATAAGTAGAAATTGTGGAAAGTGGGCAACGCAGACTTGGTTTGTGTAAACCAAATGAGTTTCTTGGTCACTCTTGTTGTAAAGTGATTTCCGATCGAGTAAACCCCATCTTTCCATTAACTTCATTAAAAGGCACCATGTTTCACTCACATGGGGAGGCAAGAGGAGCGGCAGACAAGGTCGGGCCCAGTTGAGTAAAATCACACTGACACGGAAATAAAAATAACTTTCTGGCAAAAACAAGACGATGCCCAGCACTGACAACAGCAAACAGGCCCCGGTGTTAGCTCTGCCTGTACAAGGGGATTAGGGTCTGCGTTCATGCCTCAAGAGCTCAGGTGAGGCTGGTCTGTAGTAGTCAGTGACGAAGAAATGGTGGCTCTAAATGCTACTCTTTTTTTTTTTTTTGCGGTACGCGGGCCTCTCACTGTTGTGGCCTCTCCTGTTGCGGAGCACAGGCTCTGGACGCGCAGGCTCAGCGGCCATGGCTCACGGGCCCAGCCGCTCTGCGGCATGTGGGATCTTCCCTGACCGGAGCACGAACCCGTGTCCCCTGCATCGGCAGGCGGACTGTCAACCACTGCGCCACCAGGGAAGCCCAACTACTTTCTTTTTTAACATGAGGATGGAAGGTGAGATTTCAGGTATCCTGGAGGGCCCTCTGGTGCAGGTGGCAGCAGGAAGGTGGTCCCTGCCCTGAGCCCTCAGGCTTCTGCTCCACCACAGTGGTGCTGAGGGCTTTTTTCCTCCCCGCTCAGGGCTCAGGACTCAAGAGTACACAGGCTGTGAAGGTGCAGGGCTTTCAAGCAGCGACAAGGTCCTGCTAAGGAAACACCTTCCTGACCCTCAGGAATTGCCCCAATCCACCCCACCGTCATCCTCTCCTGGCCACCTGATGACACTTCTCTTTACAGCAGTGGTCCTTTAAGTGTGGTCAGTCTGGGGATCCTGGGGTCCCCGTGACCCTTGCAGGAGCTCTCAAAGTCAAAACCATTTTGTGAGATCAAGGCATTATTGGCCTCGTTCATACTCATTCTTCCCAGAGGCTCCAAGACACGTGACACCACAACAGACTGAGCGCAGCAGCAAATGTGAGAATCCGGGGGACTTCTCTTAAGCCAGGCCTTAAAGTCTTCGCCAAAATGAAAAACAACGCCACTCTTTTCATTGGATTTGTTTTGTTTTGAAAGAATACAGCTATTTTTAATAAAAATAATGTTAATGTATAGTGGGTTTATTATCATTAATTTAAAATGAGTTAATAAACACATATTTAAGTTTTCATGTTAATGTATAATTTGGTAAACGCTGACAGATATAATCCAAGTAAAAATGCTCCTTGGGGTCCTTCAATAATTTTTAAGAGTACAGTGGTTTGAGGACTACTTTATTTATTTATTAAATTTGATTGATTGATTGATTGATTTTTGGCTGTGTTCGGTCTTTGTTGCTGCGCGTGGGCTTTTCTCTAGTTGCGGCGAGCGGGGGCTACTCTTCCTTGCGGTGCGCGGGCTTCTCACTGCGGTGGCTTCTCTTGTTGCAGAGCACGGGCTCTAGGTGTGCGGGCTTCAGCAGTTGTGGCTTGGGGGCTCTAGAGTGCAGGCTCAGTAGTTGTGGCGCACGGGCTTAGTTGCTCCGCGGCAATGTGGGATCTTCCCAGACCAGGGCTCGAACCCGTGTCCCCTGCATTGGCAGGCGGATTCTTAACCACTGCGCCACCAGGGAAGTCCCTGAGAACTACTTGAGTTCTACCCAGATCCAAATCGAGAGCTTCTCTGAAGATGCAGGTGGTTACCTGCCAGGCCCGCTTCTCTGGGTCCAGTGCCCTGATCCTGGCCGCCACTGCCTCCCACCTGGACTTCTGCAAAGGCCTCTGTGCTCCGGCCCTGCAGCCCGTCCCCTAGGCCAGCCCGAGCTACCTTCTCAGCACGTGAAGGCCCCTGGCTCCCAGGTGTCTCGTGGCACTCGCCCGGCGCTCTCCCTAGACGGTCGCTTCACTTCCGTCCCCGGACACACTGAGCTCACTCCTGCCTTCGCCTTTGTAACTGCTGCTCCCACACCCAGAGTCAAAGGTCACTCCTCAGAGAGCTCCTCCCTGACCACCCAGTTTGCGTGACCCCGTCCCGATCGACTTCCTTAGAGCATTTATGTTCGCCTGAAAGTGTCTTTCTTAAGTGTGTCTCTCCAGCTAGAATGTAAACTCTGTGAGAAAGAAACTCTGCCTGCCGTGCCCTTGACCTAGAAGGGGCTCAATGCTTGTGCTGAAAGAATAAAGAAGCAGGTGTGGATCCCACCCATGGTCTGGAGCACGTGGCCAGGCTACCCAGGGCAGGTCTCCCAGTTCCGTTTCCTCAGGGTGGACACTGTCCTGCTTCTCCTTTAGCTACCAGTGACAGCCTGCCGCTTGCTCTCCTGTGGCCCACTACTTATTAACGCAACACACTGCTTTTTCAGACGGATACAGATGGTGGCCAAAAGGTGCAACAGAAAAGAAAACGTGGTTCCTCAAAAAGCCAAGTCATTCTTTTCGTTTCGTTTTCCCTCAACTTTCCCTTCTGGGTTCACAGTGGTAGAACAGGAAGACACTCTGAGATAAGCAGACCTGGGCTGAAATCTCATTAGCTTGGAAGTATCACTTAAACCCTCCCACCTCATCTAGAAAATGGGGATGATCAAGCCTTCTTAAAGATTTAATGAGGTTAGATTTCCTGAACACTTACAAAGACCATGCTGGGAGTTCCCTGGTGGTCCAGTGGTTAGGAGTTGCTTTCACTGCTGTGGCCCAGGTTCAATCCCTGGTCGGCGAACTAAGATCCCACAAACCGCAAGGCACAGCACCCCCCTCCCCCCCCCACCCCAAAAGCATGCAAAGCACCTAACTGCTCAATTCATTTCGTTTCCCTGCCTTTCTAAAAAGACACTGTAGCTGGGAAAGGTTCAATCCAGTCCTTGCCTAGGAAGAGATGACCTCCTGGTATCCATCAGAATTTAAGTTCCTCAGAAACTTTCCATTATTAGCAAACACACATTTCCCTAAGAACTGATGAAACCAAAGCCTTGTTTTTAATTGGCCTAAAATAGCTTTTATGAACCTATGCAAGCTGCTCTTAGGCACTTATTATAGATGGGGAGGATCTTAATCCAACGGAGTTGGCTTTATTTAGAATTAAGTCATCAGCAGACCGGGGAGGTCTGTGGAGGCTGGAGACTAGACCCTCGAAATCTCATGAGTAAGTTTTTACTGTGATAGTACTAATAAGATGGACGGATGAGCTTAATGATGGTTTTAATGCCTTGTCACTAAATCCGGTCAGGGCCTGAAGCGTTAAAATGAAAAACAGCTCTCAGAGACAGATCTCTCAGTCAGCTCGGTGTTACCACCCTCAAAACCTAAGAACCGCTTTGAATCACCACAGCAGGGCTGCCCGTGTTCCTGGGGGACATTTATGGAAACATGTTACACTGTACGGGGTGGTGCCACCAAACACGGGTGATTCATCCAAGGGAACCTGCCAAAACAGAACTGGGAAGCGGAGCCAGGCTTAACTGCACGCTCCCTGGAAACTTCTGCAACACGTCTCTGGAATGTTCTCAGGAACCCAGTGGCCTCCAAGAACGAGAACCACCTCGCCTCCTGCCTCCCATTACTGTGGCATTGCTTCAGCGACTGTGTGGGAAGAGGGAGCAACACGGTCAGTGAAAAGCATCAGCTGGTCCCCGCCTGGAGCAGTGAGGCTCGGCCCCCAGCTTCTGACACCGAATCCTCTCCCTCCGCCCTCTGCTGCTGCCCCTACAGCTGAGAGGCTGGCTGCCTCCTGTCGGCTCAGCCCTCCAGCCTGCCCTCACCCGGATGCCAGCTCCGGTCCCTGCCACTCCCCTGCACAGCCACCTGCACTGCCCCGGTGCCACCAGGACCAGGTCAGACCCCTACTCATAGACGCGCCCTCCGTGATCTCCCCTCCTGGGCGGCCGCTTCTGGGACCACGCTGCATGCAAGGGCCTGCCGTCCCGTGTCCACGTGGCAATCCCCTATTTACTCTGTAACACCTGCAGGTACCACCAACCCTGTAAAGTCTTTCCAGGTGGCTCGCATCCCTTTGGAGCCCACCAGTTTCTGTGCCCATCCCACCTTGCACACATCCACTTAACAAATAATTATCAAGCGCCTCACAGATGTCAGATGTGGGGTACAAGAGGAGCAGTCACAGCCCACACACCACACGGGGCCCGTCACACTGAACTGCAATTTGTGGCTCTCTCAGGACCAGAGCCACATTCTGCTTCTCTCTGTACCGTTAGTACTCAGCCCAGTGCCCGGCACATAGCAAGTCCCTGGTAATCTTTTTGCTAAACACTGATTGCAAAAGGAAGAGTTCCAAGCAGCCACTAAATAGCTTTTACAAGTGACTTAATAATGATGGTAATGACAGAAACAGCAGGCACAATGCTTACTGAGCATCTACGATACACCAGGCACGGTGCTGAAGCCATCACGTGCACTACTTAATTCCAGAACATATTATGAACAAGGTGTTACATCACCCTCATCTTACAGAGCAGAAATCTGAGGCTCAGAGAAGTCAAGGACCTAGAGGATGGTGTCCCCAGCGCTGTCCAACAGAGCAGCCACGGGTGCCTGCTGAGCGTCTGAAGTGTGGCTGGCACAACCGAGAAAAGAATTTTTAATTTTGCACAATTTTAATTAGTTTCAACAGTCACATGTGCCTAGTGGCTGCTGTGTTCAACAGCAGACTAAGCTGTCTCATTTGTGAACTGAGGAGAGGAAGTAAATAAATCCCAACGTCCTTTCCTGCTCTGAGAGCCCGTTCTTTGTACCGCTGGCCTCACTGCAAGGAAGGAAGCACAGCCTAGCAGGTGAAGAGAATACGGAGACACAGTCACTTCTCTGTGAACACATCTATGAAATGACCAGCGTGGATGCTTTCAACAAGCACTGCCTGAGACCAACAGATACGCCAAGCACTGAGCTAGATGCTGCAGGAGCCTCCAGACAGGCAGGAGCACCCCTGCAGAAGGGCACAGCCAAGGACAGGAGACAGAGGAAGGGGCGCTGTCATCAAATTCGGGTACAGTACAGACATAAGCAAAAAAGGGGGGACTGATGGCCGCGTGAACACAGGACAGAGGAACCCCAAATCAGACGGAAAATATAAGGCAGGTTCAGAAAGCCACTTGCAGCAACTTTTGAGAACGCAGTAAAGGGAACACGTGTTAGTAATTCTGCAGAAGGAAATACCTAGAATCCATTTACGTAATTAGCAGTCGCTACATGACTCGGGGCATGCATCGAAGCCTGTGAAAAGCTGGTGAAACTCCACGAATATGCCAAAACCCACTACACACTTTAAATGAATGAATGGTATGGTATGTGCTCTGTGTCTCAATAAACCTGTATGTTTTTAGAAGCTGCTAAAAAGTAGTAACACAATATCTGGACAATCAGAAACCCTGATGTGAAAAGAAGTGCTCAGACAACCCCCTTGAAACCTCTGTGGGGTGATACGGGGCAGGCCTGCCCTAAATGGACATCTTAGAATCGATGAAATGAAGGCCGAGGAGTGAAATGCAGGCATTTCACTGCATGTGGACTCTGAACTGCATGCGGAACTGCATTTTGAGGTGGACTTATCTACGTGGCATGGCCCAGGCCCAGAGACCGACAGCTGAGAAGACGACATGCTGGGAACATACCTCTTCCAGGCTGAGCTGCAAGTACTCAAAGAGCCTAAATGGATTTCTTCTGCATATCAGTCTCTTTTTTGGCGACATCTGAAGAGGAAAAAAAAAATACATACAGAACAAATGGAAGCACTATGTGTTACCTGGAGGAGGGTGCATTTTAAAACGAACGTTTTCTTCTAAATTTCCCCGATTCACATTTGTTGGATTAATTCTGTTAAAAAATAATTTATTTATGTAGAAAAATAATTTATTATTTATGCAGAAAAATAAGTTTTCGTTTTTCTACTGCAGCTGACCCTTGAACAACAAGGGGGCTGAGGTGCTGACTCCGGGCAGTCGAAGGTCTGCATGTAACTCACAGCCGGCCCTGGCCCTCCATGTCTGCGTTCTTTCCTATCTGCAGATTCAACCAACCGCAGGTCGTGCAGCAGTACGGTATTTACTACGGAAAAAAATCCTCTTTCGTAAGGGGACCCACATTCAAACCCATGTTGTTCAAGGGTCAACTGTATTAACATTTTGACTTAGTTCCTTTCTTTTATCGCCCATGAACTTTTCCTGCAGTTGTGATCATTTGGTTGGTCAGTTTAATGTGTTGCTTTTTTTCACCCAACTGCACCTCACAAGCATATGCCAAGTTCTTAATGAGACTTCATAAACTCCACCCTAAAGGCGAGATATTTCTTCAAACGGGTGTTTCTCATGCTATTTAACTATTAGACTGTTTCTCACTTTTAGCTGCCACAGATGTTGCTGGGGCAACTATCTTGTAGGTCCCTGAATGAAGTGGGTCTAGTTCTGCGCCCCAGCCTCCTCCTGTGAGGGCTGCCCTCCCCACCTGAGCCCCTGCCCACCGCTACACTCAAGACTGCGTAACTACCGTTGCATTTCTTCTTCTCCCTGGCAAGGGAGAGAATGTTACTGGACCTGCTTTACTTTATGTGTTATGTATTACAGATATACGTTATTTAAATATTATATATATATATATTCATATATTTTTTAAAGTTAAGCTATTCACAGACTTTGAAGTTTCAGTTGAAACAGCCCTCACGACTACTGAGCCCTCAGGGCTGGCTGGTGCCCTTGGAGGGTCTGCAGTGTGTGTCCTGCACCAGCTCTCACATGTCCCGGGTGCTGAACACGGGCCTGCTACCAGTTCCGAGTAAGGGACGTCCCTGTTGGCCAGCATCTCCTCTGGGTCAGACACAGATGGCTCTGGAGGAGGTGATCTCTCTCCTTCTACTTACGTTCCCACCTGAGGCGTCTTCCCTCTCACTCACGTCACACACGACTTCCTCCACCAGCACGCAGTGATGCTCAGGCCCTCTCTCTCTGGCCGGGACCAGACCCGCTCGTTGGCTGCTGTCCCCAGGCTGAGCGCCAGAGGGCGGGAGGAGAACATCCTGTTTGCCCCAGTGCACGTGGGGCAGAGAAGCGGTGACCTCCGCCACATGTTCACCCGGGCCGTGGGTAGGTATTGGGTCAGGCCTGGAGCCCTCCTGCAGGCAGTCTGATCGCTTGCTGGGATCCTCCAGATCGTGTGACTTTCCTGCAACCCCATTCATGGCAGAAAGTTTCTCTCTATCTGCTGTGCCTTCCCTTTTGGAAACCATTCCAGAGTTCAGCTCATTACACAACTGGACCTCTTCATTCCTTTGCAGACAAAGATGCTGAAGGGGCTTTGTGTAATCCTCAAGGAGTCTACGCACTGTGCTCTCATCCTGGCCCTGTCTTCGCATGAGGTTTGTGGCCCATTCCACGCTACGCTGATACCTGCAAAGCAGAAATTCTGTTAGTAACAACACTTAAATTTCAATATTGAAAAGACAGCTGAATGTGTGAAAAAGATGGGAAGGCAGTAGGCCAAAATGTCTATAGTTCTTCTCAACGATGGGCTGTAGGTTGTTTTCTTTATACTTTTTTGCACTTTCTAACTGCTCTGCAATAATTATCTACTACTTTAAAAATTTTTTTTTAAATTTTATTTATCTGTGGCTGTGTTGGGTCTTTGTTGCCGCACGTGGGCTTTCTCTAGTTGTGGCGAGCGGGGGCTACTGTTCATTGTGGTGCGCAGGCTTCTCATTGCGGTGGCTTCTCTTGCTGCAAAGCACAGGCTCTAGGCATGCGGGCTCAGTAGTTGTGGCTCGTGGGCTCTAGGTGTGCGGGCCTAGTAGTTGTGGTGCATGGGCTTAGTTGTTCCGTGGCATGTGGGATCTTCCTGCATCAGGGATCGAACCCGTGTCCCCTGCATTGGCAGGTGGATTCTTTTATTTTTATTTTTTTAGTTTATTAACTTATTTATTTTTGCTGTGTTGGGTCTTCGTTTCTGTGCCAGGGCTTTCTCTAGTTGTGGCAAGCGGGGGCCACTCTTCATTGCGGTGCACAGGCCTCTCACTATCGCAGCCTCTCTTGTCGCGGAGCACAGGCTCCAGACGCGCAGGTTCAGTAGTTGTGGCTCACGGGCCTAGTTGCTCCGCTGCATGTGAGATCCTCCCAGACCAGGGCTCGAACCCGTTTCCCCTGCACTAGCAGGCAGATTCTCAACCACTGCGCCACCAGGGAAGCCCAGCAGGTGGATTCTTAACCACTGCGCCACCAGGGAAGCCCTATTACTTTTTGTTTTTATTACACAGCTTCATCTAATTTGCTTAATTTGAAAAAAAATGACCCCAGTTTAACAAAGTATGAAAACTTATGTAATTTAAAACTGGTGGACCAAATGATTTAGGTAAATTTAAAGAGAAAATGGCCATCCTTTGTCAGGGTTTGTTTTGCGTTATTTTCAGTTTTGGTTGTCATGTTTTCAGATGTGTGTCTCAGTCACAGCAGGAAGTCTTTGTTTAGTATTGGAGAGCAAAATGAGAATTTTAATAAACATTTTTCACAGTACAGTACTTACGAACGTCTCCCCCGGGTACGCAAAGAAATGAGTACAGTTACACACACCCAAGCATCTTAATAAAAAATGGCCCTTTTTCCCATAATTTTCAAAGTATATTTTAATGAGAAAATACATGCTTAGTTTCTTAAACTTGAAGGCAAGCCCTGAACACTTCCCAAGTTACAGGCAACACAAAAGGATTCTGCCTATTGAAGCAGCGTCAACACCTGACAAGGCTGCTGGGATGCGTCATGTGACATAAGATGCCACACGTGTGTGGAATCTGATCCGCAGAGGCGAAAGACATTGCAAAACTCAAGCACCGTTAGCCTCCACCTACAGCAATCAGTCTGCAAAGAATGGAAGAAGACACGTGGCTGTGGGAAGACAGATGTCACTTTTCTCTTCACCTTGAGTATCCTGCCTGTGTATGGATGATGGGATACATCATGGTCTATAAACTTACACACGGTGAAGCAAGGAAGCTGGCTTCTGTTTTTTTTTAAATAAATTTATTTTATTTATTTATTTTTGGTTACGCTGGATATTCGTTGCTGCACGCGGGCTTTCACTAGTTGCAGTGAGTGGGGGCTGCTCTTCATTGCAGTGCGTGGGCTTCTCATTGTGGTGGCCTCTCTTGTTGCCAAGCACGGGCTCTAGGTGCGTGGGCTTCAGTAGATGTGGCACACGGGCTTCAGTAGCTGTAGCTCGTGGGCTATAGAGTACAGGCTCACTAGTTGTGGCGCATGGGCTTAGTTGCTCTGCGGCATGCGGGATCTTCCCAGACCAGGGCTTGAACCCGTGTCCCCTGCCTTGGCAGGCGGATTCTTAACCGCTGTGCCGCCAGGGAAGTCCCATTCTGCTGTTTTGAAAAAGAGATCTGTGGTTGATTAACCCTGATACATCAGAACAATCTCCAAGCTGTCCACACCCTGCTTATCCTACACGGGGGGATAAGCATGCAGCCCTATATACTGGGGACTGTATCTTAGATGTAAAGATTAAGACCTGGCGAGGCTGCTCTACACCTATAAGGCAGGATGGTGCAGCGATTACACATGTGGACTCTGGTCCTGCACGTTTTGTGTTCAGCCCTTACTCTATCCCTCGTAACTGGGTGACAAAGCCAATGAATTAACTGCTCTGTGCCCGTTTCCCCACCCCTAACATGGAGATAATAGTACCATTACCTCATAAGGATCACGTTATGCACTCCTTTTTATAATCAGCATAAAATGTAGCTGCCCAGAGAGCAGCAGGGTGTCTCCTCTCCTGCATGAAAGGTACAGCCTCTCTCATGTGCAGTTAGAAGGACTTTCATATGAGGGATCTAAAAGGATCTATGTTCTTCGTGTCACCAGTAACACTGGCTAAAGCCTTCACGGGTCTATGAATCTCCTGTGTCTGAACACAAATTTTCGTGTCATGTGTATTTTCCTGGGGAAGGGATCCACAACTTTCATCAAATTCCCTGATTTAAAATATGTGAAAGAACCACAGCATTAAAGGTTCAACAGCTCCCACTTTGAGCAGGAGATGTGGAACTGAGAGAGAGAGAGAGTGCACACGCACAAACGTCCCTGCTCAGTTTCTTAGCACCAGAGTGGTCAAGGCAGATGTGAGCTCAAGTCCTCACTGTGAGCATGAGGTTCTCGTACCAGCTACGTGCCCTCCCCTCCAAAGCTCGGGGATAACTGGACCTGCCCCAGGGGGCGGTGTAAGGATGAAAGGAGATGAGACATGTGAAGTGCTCAGCACATAGTAAGTGTTCAATAAATATTTGTTACTCTATGACTGTGGGGTATTTCGGGGAGACTTGAAAAATAAAATCATTTCGACTCAATACTTATTACATTTAAAAATACAAATGACATTTTAATGGATGGAAACGTACACCTTAATGAATCGCTCTCTGGGAGCAGGGGCAGCCGTGCGGGTCGAGCACTGTACCAGATCTGGGTTCCGGAGCTGGCTCTTCTGTGACTCTGAGCTGAGCCACTCAGCATCTGACACCTTCTGCTCTTCTGCCAAATGCCGGGATCACACCGCTTTCCTGCCTCTGATGACCTCAGATGTTTGTTTATGGAAGCTGAATGCAACAGCGGCTGCTAAAGCCTGTGGAAGGAAGCCTCTGACTCAGCCTGTGATCGACACATGGCAATGGGGCACAGAGCAGAAGGTGTCCTCTCAATGGCTGGCAATGCCTTAGAAAGTCCTGCTGTGATTAACCCTGAACACTGCTGGAGAAGCAGCAGGAAGAGAAGAGTAAAAAGTAAAAACTGGAAAACATGAGGGGAGAGCGGGAGGAGGTGGCAGGTGCGATGAGAAGCCGCGAAGCGCCTGGTGGTGCAGAGCCGTGCTGGGGCCCCAAGAGCACCGAGCGGGGCCGTGTGCATACGGCTCAGCTTCTCAGGTGCCTCTGCCCTCAAGCACACCTCTTCCATTTGCAGCCAACATCCTTCTTCACCTCTTACTGACTGAGGCCTAATTATTACTGGAAGTTCACGGCAAAACGGTTTTGAGGCAGGCTGCTTAGGTCCAAGTACTGACCCTGAGCGAGTTAATTAACCTCCTCCGGTGCTCTTTCCTCCGCTTTCCAAGACAGATAATTATAGGACTGACCACCTAGGGGTGATGTGAGGACATGAAAAGCTAATCCACAAAGCTGTTATGAACACAGTGCCTATTACATGGAATACACCCCAGAAATGCCGGCACATACAACTATGAGATTACCGTCCAGGCTCCGGAGTCGTGCTTCCTGGTTCGAGCTCACGAACTCTTGGGCAGCTCTCTGTAGGCTCCCTATGCACGTGATGGAAACAACTACACCTAACTCAAAGGTTTCTCCAGAAGACGAGCTGAGAGGATACGGGTAAAACATGTGGACCGGTAACAGCACTGTTGGAGAATCAGTACCGATTGGCTATGACAACGCTGCTGCTGCTGGCGATACCTCATCATAATATTTATCACAGAAGAGCTCATTTGTCTACTCCTCTTCCCCTCCCACTAGACTCTAAATCCCCGAGAAGAGGACAGAGATCTTTCCTCATCTTGTACCTCCAGCACCTACCCAGTGCCCTACACGTGGGCACCCGCAGTAAGTGCTGGCTGGAGAGAGGACCACAGGTCAGGAGGGGGCCAGCACCATCCTCAGGGCTGGTCCTTCCACGACACAACCCTGCAATCTTCAGCCCGCAGGTGCATCACCTGAGGGTCTGGATGCTCACGTCCAGAAGAGATCACACGGAAGGTTCTCATCACCCCAGGACGGCTACTGTTGGGAAAAGGCCGATTATAGTGGATCCACTGGAAAGAGGGATCCGAAGTTCTGAGAAAATAAACAATTGTAACACGTACTTAAGTTGGAAAACTAACCTCAAGGTATGAAAAAGAGTCCATTTTTCTAAGAGTTAACGAAATTTACATTTGTGACCGCAAGTTTTACGAACTAATGATGAACCAAGTATTGATGGGGGGTGGCGCTGGGGAGGGCATACTTTCCTGACAGAACTGTCAGATGTGCTGAAGTCCTACCTCTTGGCACCTGCAAATGGGACCTTATCTGGAAACAGGTCTTCTCAGATGTAATGAAGTCAAGATGAGGGCAGACTAACTGGTGTCCTTACAAAAAAAGGGAAATTTGGACACAGACACAGAGACACACAAGGCGGGCCACCATGCGACGATGGAGGAAGACTGGAGTGATGTGTCTACAAGCCAAGGAGGGCCAAGGACTGCTGGCCACCACGAGAGGCTAAGACGAGGCAGGAAGGACCCTCCCCTAGAGCCTCCTGAGGGAGCACAGCCCCGCTGACACCTTGATTTGGGAACTTTGGCCTCCAGAACCGTGAGAATAAATTTCTGTTCTCTTAAATTGCCAAGTTTGAGACTTACCTAGCGGTCCAGTGGTTAAGAATCCATCTGGCAATGCAGGGGATGCCTGCTCGATCCCTGGTCAGGGAACTAAGATCCCACGTACTGTGGGACTACTGAGCCAGTGCTGCAACTACAGAGCCCACGTGCCACAACTAGAGAGAAGCCCACGCACTGCAACCAAAGATCCTGCCTGCCGCAACTAAGACCTGACACAGCAAAAAACAACAACAACAACAAAAAAGCGCCAAGTCTCTGGTACTTAGTTACAGCAGCCCTAGGAAACTGACGCAAGGCTCAACAGAATTCCTGGAATGTTGCACATTCTACAGAGCTTACCGAGGGTTAACCTTCAGATGGGGGGGGCAGCAGTCCCCCACCCCCGAGAACCTCACATATTCAAACGGGCTTGCTGCCGTGTCATCTGTCCTGCCAGCTCGATCGGGATGCGGTTCTGAGGGACGGGCTTCTGCTGTTTCTGCATCCTAGTGTTGGCTGCAGCAGCCAGTCTACACTGCAGCTCCCAGTGGAACGGGGGCTCGGCCAGGCCCTCTCAGGCCCTATGCCGTCCCCCAGCCTGTGGCTATGGCCAGAGCAGCCCCTGAGATCTTCCAGGTGCCATTGCCTCTCGGGCACTCCCTGGCTGTGGGGTTTCAGAGCATGAAAAGGAGCTGTCAGATTCTGCCAGTACATGCCAGAAGCAAGATGAAGAACCACTATAGGCTTGAGCGGTTTCAGAAGGCTTCATGGAAGAGTTGCAACTTGAGCTGTCCCGCAGGGACGACCAGCGTTTAGAATGAGGAACACTTACCCAACAAAATCCTACCAAGGGAGCGCTGGGTGTGGGGCTGCAGAGGGGAACCGGGCATGGTCCCCGCCCTCTGACAACTGACAGTCTAAGTCCAGTGTGTGACGTACGGCACAGCGACAGGCGCCAAGGCAGATTCTGCGGCGGCAGCGGAGGAAAGGGCGGCGCGGAGACGCTCCAGGAAACTGGCACGTAGGCTGGACGTGCAGGAATACCCAGCAGCACGCGTGCCTGGTAGGTTAGGGAGAAGTGTTCTGGGAAACGCGAACAGCAGAAACAAAAGCCCAGAGGAAGGAAGGATCGTGGCTGTGTGGGTGGTCTGTGTGAGAGCCTCTGGGAAAGCGGCTTTCTCTAACGCCGCAAGTGTGGAGCGATGAAAGAGGACAGGGCTGTTGACGCCCACACAGCGCAGGAGGCCAGCTCCAAACCTAAGTACCTTAGTGATTACAGACAATATATATTACAGGATTAGTGTTCATATTTTGGAAGGAATTGAACTGGCAAAGGTTTTGGCTTAGGATTACTTTTTAAAATAAACTTACTTAGTACAATTCAAATATGATTTGATCCACATTAAATTCGGACATAGTTTGCAAGGACACACCTACTACTACTACCACACACACACAAAAAAGGTGTGCACAACCACATCAGAAAAGGCTACCTGAAAACAGATCTGATTTAAACCATAATTTCGCCCAAGGTCAAAGTCCACCAAGACTTACTTTTTTGACGTGATTACAGGCATGTCTGTCTTCACATCTGCAACAACAAAGAAGTGCTATTAGTTTAGACAAATTTTCCTTAAGGGGGAAAACACTGACAACCCAGAAACGACAAAGAATTTCAAGATTCACAAAATCTCACATCTAGAAGGTCGAATGAATCCTGTCCAAGCAGCCAGACAGATGCTTTATGCACCATCACTCCCTGCACGTGCGCCCTGGCGGGCGCTGCTGACCCGTCAGGACCCTTGCCAGGCTCAGATGTGGCCTCGAAATCCTTCTCAACACTCCAGCTAAGCAGTGGCAGCATGGAAGGGGAAACTCTGCCACCTCCGAATGCTCGGGCCCTCAACTTCTAGGCGAGAGTACCGAAGCCCTAAAGTTACACACTTTACCTCCGTTCTCCGTGTTCCATCAAGCACCTTCTGTGACAGCTGCTCACATGCGCCTAAGGAAAGGGATGCTGGAGTAGATCTCATGGCGGTGTTAGCTCTGGATGTGGGTTTGGGAGTTCCAGGCTCTAGTTCCAGCTCTGGGCATCTGGCTGGAAGAGTCTTGCCCTTAAAATGTTGACCAGGTCACTAACAGAGTGGGTTTTTGTCCTGGTCCTCCCTCACCCTGCCTTTGGGCAGCTCATCTTTCCTTTATCCATACTCGGCTTCCTCTCTGGTACCCTAAAGGCCTGGAATTGATGATGTTCGGCTTTAAAATCCTAGGGAGGTGAGTTCACAGACTCCTATCTCCTTAGTAATTTGACCTAAGGAGACCTCCCTCCTCTGGTAATTTAACAACAAGCTACAATTTAGCAAGTTTTACTGACAGCCTTCCATGTGCCAAGCACGAGATATACAGAAGTAATAAAGCAAATCCCCTCTCCTTGAGATACTCACACTCTAGTTGGGGAGACAGACCAGACATGACTGACTCTAACCCAAGCTGATTCTAACCCTTCTTGAGCAAGGACAGTACATATTGTAAAGGGACTGGCTTACTTTACCTGGAAGGGTTAGGAGAAAACACAAAGGAGAAGGAGTAATCGAGTGGGGCTCTGAAGAATGAGTAAGAGTTCGCCAGGCGGACCAGGGGAAAAAGGCAGAGGACACGATGCACAAAGGCTGGGGATGGAAAACGCATGGCAGTTTCACACATCGGCCGGCAGCCCAAGGTGGCCGTGGTACCAACGAGTAGAAGAGCGTGGGTGGAGAGGGGGTAGAAGATGAGGTTGAAGCCAAAATGTTGAAATGGACATTTGAGACCTACTTCCTGAGGGCAGCCCACAACCTTAATCTCTGTTTCCTTGGCCTAAATTCATTTCCTTCAAATTTCTACCCTACTTAAAACTTGGTTACTACATAGATCAGGAAAAGATTCTCAACTGTTAAGACCATTACACTATTTGAAAACTTTCTATTTTTGGGGGGCCAAATATTAGTAACTGCTGAAGCTGGGTGATGGGGACAGGCAGGGTCATTATGCTTGCTACTTGCTCTATTTTTTTTTTTCTCCCTTTTAAAAACTCTATGAAAAAATTGAAAACATACAAAAGTAGAGAGAACAGTGTAATAAATTCCCATGTTCCCATCACTCAGCTTGAAATCAACTCATGGCCAACGGTGCTCTACCTGTTCTTCTGCCCATTCCCCTGGCCCCCAGATTATTTTGAAACAGATCCCGCATATCACTTCATCTCTAAATGGTTCGGTACATCCACGATCACCATGAGAACATGCCCGGGCTGGCCTGTGGAGGATGACATACCCGGTACCCTCCCCGCCTCATCCCACTTGAGGCCATCCTAGACCAGCTGACCGCCATCCAACAGACAACCAGACACCAATGAGTCCAGCTACATCCATCACTGGACTTCTAATAGTGCAGCCAGTGGATCCATAACTAACCAGATGGATGAGCACATCCAGCCAAGATCAGTGGACCCACCCAGCAAACCCAGCAACTCAAATGAGCAATCTGGTTGCTGTTGAGAGCCACTGAATTTGGGGGTGGTCTGTTAAACAACACTGTGGCAGGAGATACAAAGTCTATCCCATTAGGACTGAACAGTCAAATTACCATGTTTTAAAGTCACTCAAAAGAGCTTCCTCTGTGGCTACACCACCTTATTGTCATGTAATACATTTACAAGGTTCCAAGGTCAAACCTATAGTCTCACCTCTCTCTCCATCCTGTTCCATCCCTCGCCCATAGGCATTAAAAAAACTATGATTTATCCTTCCTTACATTCCAAAAATATATTTATATTCCCCTGCCTCTAGATAAGCCATAGCATACTTTCCTTTACCTTGCTTTCTTTGCTTAGAAATATATCCTAGTGATGTCCCATTCCTACCTCAGCTCCACAGCATGTCATTATATGAATGTTCTATAGTTCATTCAGCTGGGATCCCCACCCTCCATGGACATTTTGGTTGTTTCCAGTCTTTTAACATTAGAAACAGTGTTGCAATGAATAGCCTTGGGCTCTTTCTTTTCATATTTTTGCCAGTGTATCTTTAAGATAAATTCCCAGAAGTGGAATTGCTGGGTTAAAAGTAAATGCATAGGGGCTTCCCTGGTGGTGCAGTGGTTTAGAGTCCGCCTGCTGATGCAGGGGACACGGGTTCACGCCCCGGTCCGGGAAGACCCCACATGCCGCGGAGCGGCTGAGCCCGTGAGCCATGGCCGCTGAGCCTGCGCGTCCGGAGCCTGTGCTCCGCAACAGGAGGGACCACAACAGTGAGAGGCCCGCATACCGCAAAAAAACAAAAAACAAAACAAAAAACCAAAAAGTAAATGCATATACTGGGCAACTGGATATCCACAGGCAAAACAATGAAGCTGGACCCATACCTTACATCATAGAAAAATTAAATCAAAATAGATCAAAGACCTAAACTTAAGAGCTGAAACTATTAACCTCTTAGAAGAAAACACAGGGAAAATCTACACAAGCTTGGATTTGGTAATTGTTCCCTAGTATGACACCAAAAGCACATGAAAAGAAAAAAAAAATTAAAACGATAAACTAGACTTCATTAAAATGAAAAACTTTTACCACTTCACACTCATTAAAATGGCTATCATCAAAAACCAAAACAGAAAAGAACAAGTTGGTGAGGATGTGGAAAAATTGGAAAACCTTACGCATTGCTGGTGGGAATGTAAAATGATGCAGGTGTTATGGAAAACAGTTCGTGGTTCCTCAAAAAATTAAAATAGAATTATCATATGATCCAGCAAGTCTACTCCTAGGTATACACAGAAGAGAAATGAAAACATATGGATAGACAGCATGGATAGACCTTGAAAAAATTATCCTAGGTGAAGGACACAAAAGGTTTCCACTTATATGAGATATTTAGAATGGGCAAAATCAAAGACACAGAAAGCCTATTAAGGTTACCAGGGGTTAGGGGGAGAGGAGGACGGGGGGGAGCAAATGTATATATGGTTTTTCGAGACAGTCAAGTCCCCTTCGTAATGGCCATACCACCTGCACGCCCACCAGCAATGCGTGAGAGTGCTTCTCAGGGGCTCACCAATGGGGCACATTGGCAAACTTTCTGATTTCTGTCACTCTGATTGCTGAAATGGTATCTCAGTGCAGTTTTAATTTGTATTTTGTCTTGCAATAAAATGTTTTTAAAAAATCCTTTCTAATTCTGTTTTAACCTGCTGGTATTGGTTATGTAATTACCATGAGACTCCCTTAGAAAAATACACCCAGATGAAAGCTTTATAAATTAAAGAGGAACAGCAAATGGGAACCATATACATTAGTATGTTTTCACAAATACATCAATGTCATGGTTATTGTTGTAAATTCCAATTCTAGAGATAAAATATAAAACCCACCTTGCACACAGGTGAGGAGGCACTTAATTACTAGTACCTTCCACACACACAGGACTCTGCTGAGCAATGCTTAACAACAGAAAAGCCTAAATAACACTTTTGATAATTCCAGAAATTAGACGAAACACATTTTCACCAATCATAAGAACCCTTTCACCTTGATTAGAATTACTCTAGTTGCTATTTTTACCAGTAAAACTGCCAGTGGCATGTTACTTCTCCTCTAGAATTTTACTGTATAATCTGGTGTTAGAGCTAAAAATGAAGAAAAAGATAATTGGCCAAAAGAACTGAATGTTGCACAAGTTTACCTTTCCATTTAGCAACCAGCTTAGGATCTGAAATTGTGAAGTTTGGACGGCTTCTGGACAGGATACCTTTTCCAAAATAACCCTTCCGGGAAGAGAAAAAATAGTTCAGGTTTAGTTATCAATTTTTTAGCTGAGGGAGAATAACTACTTGAGTTAACAAGACAGTCATTGCATTTTTCACAGCTTGACATCTTCCCTCTGATTATAGATAATTCATGATTACTAGTGAATATCTTAGCGTCTTCTCTCTCTGACCGTTTGAAGGGAGCTGGGAAGTTTCCAGGGCACCTCGCTTGTCTCGTGAGTAGTGGCCTCAGTCCAGGTCTGGTAAGCTGAAGGTGAAGGGCAGGCAGAGGCAGGATCTCCTCTGCACACGTGGATTAGGAACAGTGGCCTAAAAGCGGGAGCCAAGTCCACCAGGGACAAAAAGCTTCTTGGATTCTCCTGTTCACAGAACTGAGGTACTGTTCTTCTCCCTCCTGCTGACTCCAAAAACACTGATTCTCCATTCCCCATTTCTTAAAATTAGAAAATATTTAAACCCATAGAAAACTGAAAGAATAATAAAATGAACACCCTATACCCTCCACCCAGATTGACAATCACAATAAATCATGTGTATGGCGCTTCACAAAGCCTCCGCTTAATGTTACATATCGCGAATGGGGAGGAGATTGCCCTTGGCCTAGACCCCTGTCTCACTGGGGTCAGTGCCACCCACTGTATCCCACTTTGGGAAGGTGACTACAACATGTATTTTATATAAAATGTCTAGAGAAGGCACATTACAGAAACAGGAAGTGGATCAGCAGTGCCTGGGCTGGGCGTGGGGACAGGGATTAAGTACAGTGAGCATCAGGGGGCCTTCTGTGGCCACGGGGAATGCTCTACAAGTGGACTGTCATGGTGGGGGCACAGCTCTATGAATTCATCACAGTCATTGCATCAGGCACTTACAATGGGTGAATTTTATGGCTGTAAATTATAGCGCAATAAAGCTGCTTTAAAAATGCCTCCAGTATTGGGGCTTCCCTGGTGGTGCAGTGGTTGAGAGTCCGCCTGCCGATGCAGGGGACACGGGTTCGTGCCCCGGTCCGGGAAGATCCCACATGCCGCGGAGCGGCTGGGCCCGTGAGCCATGGCCGCTGAGTCTGCACGTCCGGAGCCTGTGCTCCGCAACGGGAGAGGCCAAAACAGTGAGAGGCCTGCATACCGCAAAAAAAAAAAAAAAAAAATTGCCTCCAGTGTTGAATTGGCTATGGGGGAAAAAATAAGCAAGCTTCCAATCTCATTCCAAACCTATGGCTGATGGAAAAAGCCAAAACTGGAACTCGTCCTCATGTAAGAAGAGGTCCTCAACCAGGAGAGCGAGCAAAGGACCTGCTGAAGCCCCATCTGGTTTGCCCTGAGCCAGAACAATGTGCCATCCTGCAGTTACCTCTGGGGATGGAGTGGCAGTGAGAGGAGGGAAATCTTTACTTTTTACCCATTACATTGCTGTAAATTGCTTGAATTTTTTTTTTTTTTTTTTTTTTTACAATGAACATGTGTTCCTTTTATAATCAAAAAACAAGAAAGGTCAACGCACTGACCCAGCTTCACTGACGAAATGTGGGTTTGTGGCTGGGAGCTGTCCTCTGGGCTTATGGCTTCGGGGCACCTGATTCTGTTCCTACATTGGACTAAACGGCAAGGAAAACGTATGGGTCATTCATGGTCTGTTTCTGGGGGTGGATGCGGAGAGAGTGGCTGGCTCCGGGCTGTCAGGAAGCAGCAGGGCTGAGGCTGCCCGCACATACCTTCCCATAGAGCTGTTCCATATCTTCTGCGTTCCTCACTATCACATTGTTGTTTATCATCTCGGCCCGGAATATTCTAAAGTCCTTCTTAGGACCACAGTCCTGACCGAAAGGGATCGGCAGTGGAGACTCATAGCTCTCATACACTCTTCTTTTCCTCTTTGGGGGACGGAAAACTGCCTCTGCCATTTTCCAAGGTAACTGTTCTTTAAAGACTGTAATAGGGAGAAAGAAACAAGTCAATCAATAACTGTACTGACCAAACATGTGAGTACATTTATATCCAGGCTCAGAAAACCTTGTGGTCTGTGGGAAAAATATTTACAAAGCAGTGAACAAAAAGAGAGAGTAACGAGAAGATTTTGTTTGCGCAGCACAAAGCCTACCCACCTAGGGCATCTCGATTACTTCCCACGACAATGCCGTGGTACCATTTCTCATTCCAGCTGATGAGACTGAGGCCTAGTGACACGTCCATGGTCACAGTGCCACTTGTAGGTCTCCTGACAGCGAGCACAAAAGGATTTCTGCCCATGAGGATTCCTCCCAGCCTCTCAAGCGGCCGACAGACATTTACCGAGCACCCACCAGAGGCTCCCAGTCATCAGAGGTGCTAAGGATATAAAGAGAAAACCAAAAGGACCCTGTCCTCAAAGAAGTAAATCTAGTGAGCACCTCCTTTTCCAAAAAAGGACCTTAAAATACGTTCCAAACATGTGGTCAATCATCTCCCAGTTTTTCGGGTAAATTAATAATAGTGACAACAGCAGCAGCAGTCATCATTTAAGGGTCTATTCCTCAGCACCAAGCGTGAGTGGCTAAGAGCAGCAAGTGTCAAGCCAGAGGGCAGGGATGGGAATCGGCTTCACCACCGCCCAGCTGTGTGATGTGGGGCAAAAGTTACTTGATCTCTCTGTGCTTTGGTTTCCCCATCTGCAAAATAAGGATAAATACAGACTCCATCTTATAGTTTAGACCCATAGGAGCTTAGAACAGCCCCGGCACACAGCACTGAGTGCTCTGCACGTCCACTATGATTACTATTATGGCACTATTACTATTAGCACTAAGAACACCGTGTGACAGATGAGGAAACAGAGCCAGGTTGGACAGATGTTGTCAGAGGCCTAGAGGGTGGTGGCCCTGGATGACCCCGGGTCTGTTGAACGCCAAAGGCCACGCTATTCCCTCTGGGTTCTGCTGTGAGCACAGGCAGGCCTCCTCTTGTTTGAAGGCTCACTGTTTCCCCAGGTTAGGGGCTGAAGGGTTACAGAGAATTATGGAATTACCATGCGCCCAGCACTGTGAGGGAGGAAAGGAAGGCGAAGCCAGTACCTCTCCCTTCCAGGCCTTACCCTCAACCCGAGGAGACAAAACAAGGACAAAACACACACAGGCTGCAATTCAATAATGGCTGCGGGAAGGAAGTCAAGTTGAGTGCATTGTACGATAAAGACAGAGAGCCACAGCAGATGCATTTAACTCAGGAAAACTCAACCACATGCAAGGGGGAAACACAGACAGTGCAGGGGACTGGGTCAGGTGCTCCACTCATTGGGCAGGTGCCCTGGAATGAGACAGGGGACCTGAATCTGCTGCACCCTCAGTCCCGGCTCTGGACCCGACTTACACGGACAGCACATCTGGTGCTTGAAGATACAGTGGAGCTGTATCACACGTGTTTAGCCTCCATGGCTCCAAACTCTCACAGGGGGACACGTACGACTGATTATTTAGGTGCCTCCTGCACTCAATACCAGCACCCTGTTGGGCAAAGGATGTAATCAAGCCTGAAACAGCCAACGAAGGCGGCCAAAGCTGAGGCAGGAAGCTGAGTGGCTTTAAGGGTTTACGCCCATTAAAAAGAAATCAAAAAAAAGAAATCAAAAGCCTTGTCCAATGTGTAATGATTCCTTTATCCACCCTCCCAAAGATGTTGAGGAATTAAATGGGGACAAAGAAAAACAAAGACCACGGAAGTTAGAGACATTGATAAATCAATTACAAAAGTAACAATAAAAGAATCAGCAAGTTGGAACCGCCATAGAATTGCCAAAGTATTCCAAGCAGCAAAATGCTAGAATAATTTAATTTCTAACTAAGGCCCTTCAATGGAATTAAATAATGAGCACAACTGTATGCATTTTACATACATGTGTGTGTGTGCGTGTGTCTACACACACACACACACACACACACACCGCGATATAGCGTTCATAACAGTACTACGTACACCACATGTTAATGGACAATTAAGATTTCCTCCCAAGGGCATTCTAAGTAGATTTTCACTTGCCAATTTATCACTCAACCCAAGCAACTACAGTTGACCCCTGAACAACATGGGATTTAACTGCATGGGTACACTTACACCCAGAGTTTTTTCAAGAGTAGATGTCACGGTACTACACCATCCACAGTTGGCGCAGATGCAGAACCTCGGATATGAAGGAACCGGGGATACAGAGGGCCGGCTATAAATTACACTCAGATTTTTGACTGCAGAGAAGGTCAGAGCCCTGACTCCCCGCGTTGTTCAAGGGTCAATTGTACTGCATTTAGCATTCAATTGAAGGAACGGCAATTTTTTCTAAAAATTAAAATGATGTCGTATTGGCTTTTTTGAGGCAGGATGTGGGTCTCTAGTGAGGCACCTTCTAGGGATTTCCAGGAATAATTCGAACTTTTATGATCATTGCACTTTTATAACTTAACCTCTGGTTAGTATTTGATTTGTATATATTACATTTGAGATTTTTAAGAAAGGGAAAATTTTAATGGCTAACTTCAAAAACTTCCAATTAAATTCTCTCAGACAAGTGAAATAGTTCTGTTTCAATTTGCCTGGTTTGTTTAGGATTTTCCCTTTCAGATTGCTATTACACTCTCAAAAAAAAAAAAAAAGGCAAAAATGAGCTATGACACTTGATGGCAAGAACTCTGTACTCCTACCCAAGTTTGCATGACAGAAGGCTCCTGCCACAAAAGATTCCCAGTTTTTCACAAAACCTCAAAATCCCAGGTTTAGTGCCACCTCTGCACATGAGACAGGAAGCACATCAAGAATCTGGCTCTTAGTAGGCCTCCCATATATGCAAAGCTGCCATTACGATCATGTGACTTTCAACACCCCAGGTAAAGCTCCCTGAACCCAGTTTCTTCCTCTTCAAATTGAACAGAACTAGAAAACAGTCCGGAAGCCACTCAAATGTTAAACACTAAGTAACCATATGACCCAGCAATTCCACTCCTGGGTAGATAAAAGAAAACTGAAAACATGTTCGTACAAAAATTTGTACACAGGACTTCCCTGGTGGTGCAGTGGTTAAGAATCTACCTGCCAAGGCAGGGCACACGGGTTTGAGCCCTGGTCCAGAAGGATCTCACATGCCGCGGAGCAACGAAGTCCGTGTGCCACAACTACTGAGCCTGTGCTCTAGAGCCCAGGAGCCACAACTACTGAGTCCACATGCCACAACGACTGAAGTCCGTGAACCTAGAGCCCGTGCTCCACAACAAGAGAAGCCACCGCAATGAGAAGCCTGTGCACCGCAATGAAGAGTAGCCCCCGCTCGCCACAGCTAGAGAAAGCCCACGTGCAGCAACGGAGACCCAATGCAGCCATACATACATACATACATACATACATACATACATACATAAATAAATAAATAAATGTTTACAGCAGTATTGTTCATAATAGTCAAAGAGTAGAAACAACCGAGATGTCCATCAACAGATGAATGGATCAACAAAATGGGTTATATCCATATAATGGAATATTATCAGCAATTAACAGACGAATGAAGTACTGATACAGACTACAACATGTGTGAACCTTGAGAGCATTATGTGGAGTGAAAGAAGCCAGTCACAAAATACCACACATTGTATAAGACCGTGAACATGAAACGTCAGGAACAGGCAAATCCAAAGGGCAACACCAAGTAGATTAGTGGCTGCCAGGTGCTGGGGGAAGGGAGCTATGGGGAATGACTGCCCATAGGTATGGGGTTTATTTTGAGGGATGAAAAAGCTTTACAATTAGATTGCATTGATGGTGTTGGCTGCATAACTCTGAATGTATTAAAATCACTTAATTGTACATTTCACAAGGGTTAATTTTATGGTATATGAACCATCTCTCAATAAAGCTGAAAAAATTCAATAGGACAAACCAGAAGATCTCTCGTGTCATAGTTTCGTAGAAGAGTTGCCTTGTGCGGAACTGGGAAGGCAAAGCAGGGGAGGAAGGATTGAGTTTGTTATTCTCCATATCTGCAATAGGCATTTCAGAAATGTTTCTTCAGTGCCAAGATAGGAGACCAGCATGACGGGAGATGTGGGATGTGAGTACAATTACAACAGCTAACCATCAGTTGGAGGTACAACATGCCACGCACCGACTGTGCCAACACTACACACGTGGGTACCACTACCCGCATTTCACAGATGAGTAAATGGAGGCTTAGAGAGGGTAGGTCACTTGGCCACAGCGCCACAGCTGGGAAGATGAGAGGCCAGTAAGGCAGGGAGACAGGGCACGGTGAGAAGACTGGCTTCAAAGAGGACCCCTGTCTGAAGCACACACAAATGTATAGGAAGGACTGGGCCATTGGTCAGGGGGTTTGGGATGTGAAGGCTTGATGCCTCTGCAGCTTCTCAAGCCGGGAATGACAACTGAAAAGATTAAGAGGGAATTCCCTGGCAGTCCTGTGGTTAGGACTCCATGTGTTCACTGCTGAGGGGCCGGGTTCAACCCTGGTTGGGGAACTATGATCCCACAAGCCAGTCGGCAGGGCAGAGGGAAAAAAAAAAAAAAAGTTTAAAAGAAAAGATTAAGAAAATTAAACTGGGGTCATATATAACAGTGGCTCTCAAGGCTTGGATGCCCTTAGAATCACCTGGGGAAATTCTGAAACTTCCAATGCCCAGGCCTTACCTATAATTACATCAGAAATTCTGGGGTGGGACCCAGGTGATTTCAATATGTAGCCAAAGTTGTCAACTACTGGTGATAGGATGGCCTATTCAAACTCAGTGCCAACAGCCAACTCCACTGTACAGGTGAGGAAAGGGACTCAGGGGTTGACTGCTACGCACATGTAAGGAAGCAGTTGTTACTTTTCCTTTTCTAAACCTGGGCATACCAACTCGAGGCACCAATAATGTTAAGTACATTTACTTTTCTATCAAAATCAGGACTTGTTACTAA